GCAAATCAGTGGATATGTCGAGGGGGACCACAGAACTGCCCCGCTCAATCCCCGGATCTCAATCCTACCGATTTCTCTATTTGGGGCCATTTACAGCATTTGGTTTATCGTACTCCTGTTCGCGATGTAGAGGACTTAATAAACCGCATCATCGATGCGTGCAGGGTAATCAGAGAGACTCCAGGAATATTTGAGAGAATACGTGGCTCAATGCGCCGACGTCTAGACGTATGCGTAATGTCTGAAGGTAGACATATTGAACATTTACTATGATTTCTACATGTTGTGTGTTTTGTTATTAATAAATTAGTTTTATTTGTTACCCTTTAATCGTTTAATGCTCCATGATTGATGTTTTATAGTTATTTAGGTCAAGCGTAAATACTGCTACATAGACATCAACAAGCATTTTATTAAAAAACCTGCGAAGTTTATTTTGTTATGTAGACAAAACACAATATGTTTCTGAGAAAGGGGGTTATTCAATGATAATTAAGTTTTCATTCATTTCATTGAAGTGAAAATATATCCTGAGGAGAAATTGACATTTTCTGCGAGCTGAGGCAATGATTAGTATTGCAGGATGTCCTGCCGAGCTGTATTATAATACCCCACGGACATTTGAACAACTGTTTAGGATGATTTCTGATGTACAAGTTGATGATGAATAAGGGACATTCTAAGGAAACTGTGTGCTATTTGAATTCAAAGAAAATATTAACAAATCTGATGTCACAAAAAATAATTTCAGTACTTGATGTAACAAAATATCTTTTCAGTAGGAACTTGTTGCAGATTAAAGACCCTGAGTTGGTATATCATAAGATTAGACCATTTTGTTTATTGTAGGATACACCAAATATTGATTCTCATATTAATCAACCCTTGAAATATATTACAGTCAAGAGTATTCAATATATTGGAGGATTGTAATCATATTAATTATTTTTTGGCTTCGTTGTAAGTCTTCGCAACATTCAAAACTTCAGATTCAATAAGCCAATTTCACAACTCATTGTTCATCGTAATGAAAGCCGCCGAAGGCTATCTTAACCCCATGCGGAAAAGGGTGAAAATCAAGTAGGCGTTACCCCAACTCCACATCTTGTTCTGACACCGGGCAAAAAAGTACGAGAGGTGGATGCTTATACATTGCTTGAGGGTGATTCGAAAATTATATAACATTAATTTCATGAAAACTAATTCAAATTACCTTCTCTTCTTAATTTATCAGGAATGAGAAATTTAAATAATTAACTTTGCAAACTTTTACACTCTAGGCACTTTACAACATTCACAAAATTCAATTTTAGCGATTTTAATGCTGAAAGCTCCGCACACTAAGGAAAACAGAAAACCTTGTATTCTAATTGAAATTTTAAACTTTAAACTATTCTGGAATACTAATTACTTACAATAGAATGAAATTTTGCGTAGAAAAAAGGGAACAGTTGAGGTGAGTTTCTTTTTATTGACGAAATATAATTTACTTCGTACTTCATGAATATTCAGTAATATGTTCTGTAACTCATGGCAAACCAAGCATGTTATTTTGAATATTCATTTTTGAGACACAAAATAATTTTGTCTGTCTTCCTGATAAACTGGATGTCAATATTTCAAAAACTATTGTTATGGAGTTATGTAAAATATTATAAGAAGTTGATATTTTTGTGGAGGACTCAATATTTTATACTGTTTTTGTTTCGAGTGTATAGCCTTTCACAATCCGAAATAATAAAAGTATGAACCAATAGAGAATCTGCTGAAGTGTAGTAAAGAGTAAACTGAAAAATTCATCCCGAAAAGTTACTGCGTAATATAAACTACTGGAAAGTTCAATTAGTCAGTAACTTGTTGTATTCATAAGCATAGGAGAGCCCAAGCGGGGATTTCGGGATTTACTGAAGCGCGGCAGATTAATATACAGGGGGGTATCTTGTACCCTGTTAAGTACCTCTACCAAATATGAGCCCCATATATAAGGCCGCCCGTGAAGGATAAAGGATCAGATTAGTAAAAAAAAATGATCATCAGAAATTCTTGAGCGCGTCAGATTGAGGTAGGGTGAGTTAATTACATGCTAAAAAGTTTATATTCCAGTAATCTGACAATTGGAGAGTGACGTAAAGAAAGGAGAGATTTTAACCTCGAAGATGAGCCCCGAAGTGACAATAATAAAAATAAATGCTTTTATTGAAAGGTTACTCAGTACAAGAGATAAAAAACCAGTCTAACAAATGGCAGAATTCAACATCTGCACATGATAAATCACGGTAGATATTGCTCTTCAATCCAACCAGCTATTGAATTTTTTCATGATGGAGATATGAATTTATTATAAGATCAGGAAATGTTGTCATTCAAATATCAAATTTTAAACCCGAAATGAGTGCACTCTAATTGTTAATTGTCGAGATAATTGACGTTTTTAATCATTTTTGTAACCTTTGTGTATTCAAATGATAAAATAATGTAATATTATTATTATTTTTTTTTTCACCGTAGTGTACGCTGGTCAGGCCCTATCCCCAGAAGCCCCGATACATTCGGGAGGGCGCGCCAGCATTATCAACCAATGACCACTCCCCACACCGTGGGGTAAGTGAGTGATCTGGATAGAGTCTGCGGAGTTCGAAGAGAAAATTTCGATATTTCATCCGTTTCTCCTCCTCTTTTTTGACGATATTCGTCTCGCCAGGAGCTGAAAACTCCACGACAAATATCGTTTTGCTCTGGTGGTCGAGAAGGACTACATCAGGCTTATTAGCTTGTATGAGCCTGAGGATGGGGAACGAATAGTTCCAATAAATTCGGCACTTATCATTCCCCACACCGGATTCCATATCCCACGGAGCGTAGGGCAAGATCGGTGTCTCGTCAATACCGTAAGAGGCCGAGACCGCATATTCTGAACATGCTGATAGCAAGTGCATTAGGGTCTCTGACGCCTCGCGGCAGGCCCTGCACCTTGTGTCAGGAACCTCTATACCCATCACGCGATTGTGGTAGACTAAGGTGTTAAAGACACCATTCTGGCAAGCCATGATGAACCTCTCAGTTTCCGAAGGACCACATCAGGCTTATTAGCTTGTATGAGCCTGAGGGTGGGGAACAAAGAGTTCCAATAAATTCGGCACTTCTCGTTCCCCATAACGGATTCAATATCCCCTGGAGCGTAGGGCAACACCGGTGTCTCGTCAATACCGTGAGAGTGACGTAGATGGTAATATAACACTTTTAGGGCCGCGTTATGTCGATGGATATAGGCCGAGACCGCATATGCTGGACATGCTGATAGCAAGTGCATTAGAGTCTCAGGCGCCCCGCGGCAGGTCTCCAATGTTATTGAAGAAGCCCACATGCATTGGCTTATCCTTGTGTCTTCGCAGAAGTAAGGTGATCTTTGCGGCTTTTATCTGAGATTTTTGCTGAACGGGTTCCAACTCGGTGACAGATGTGGTCACCTCGTTCAGAGTCGAAAAATATACCAAGTTCATCAGCTGCTCGAGCAGATGCCATAAGGAGAAATGCTCCAATTCCTGCTCTCTCATGGTCACGGACCATGCAGAGAAGGGGATCCGATTATTATTATTATTATTATCACCGTAGTGTGCGCTGGCCAGGCCCTATCCCCCGAAGCCCCGATGCATTCGGGAGGGCGCGCCAGCATTATCAACCAATGACCACTCCCCCCGACGTGGGGTACGTGATCATTGGGTCCGAGAATCATGTGCCCTGAGCAAGCGCAGTGAGCCAAGAATGACAGCTTTCTGCATCTGTGCGGCTAAGATTTCTGCCTTAGTGCGGCAGGCCGGTATGATCTTAAGATTCGAGAGAAGAGAGGACATCATTCCACCAAGGACTCCAATAATCAGAACAACCATCTTGAGAGAGTTAAAAATCTGCAGCATCATATCATCTGAAGATCTTGATCTTCCAATGTCCGCTATCTCATAAAACAAAATGTAGGGTGTCTCCAAAGGCTCCAATGAATTCAATACGTTTCGTCTTTGACCAAGGCGTAATAATGACCAGATTTAACGCCAGGACCACAGTGAACAATGACTGCATGAAAATTATAATAGTGGTCTGCTAGATTAAAGTGTTCATCTATTTCGAAACTTTGTAAGAGTTTGGTGCTTCCGTCAGAGGTTGAGTCATGTTTGAAGATCATCAGTGTTATCATTAGATTGTCTGGTGGCTCAGCTGTACTTGTTTTCTTATAACAATCAGTTAGTTTGGCGCATGTTTGGCAATACAGTCTATCATCACCTGTTAAAAGTTCCATTTTCAAATGATTTAACAATAAGTTTTGCATGGGCTGGTTATTAGTCATATTAGGAAACGCTAGTTGAAGTTCCAGAAATTCACATATTGCTACCTCTTGAACATTTACTATAAAGTAAATAAGTGAGGATTTTTTCAGCAAAAGATTAATAAACACAAGACGAGATACAGTGTACGGAATCACTCAATCCAGAGCAGTCAGGAGTATTGATTCTGCTATGGAAAATATGTCAAATGTCCAATTTGTAAATGTAATGATTTTATGTTTCATTGTCATCACCACCATATTTAGTTTCAATTAAATACAATAATAAGTACTATACATGATAATAATTATAAAATGTTCACAAGGAATTTCATTGAAGACGTGTTTCGCTACACGGCAACTTCATCAGTTGGAAAAATCTGTTATTCATCTGTAGACTGGTACATGACACTCTTCTACAATATCTTTTATATGACAGTATGATATATAAAAAACAGTATGACATATGATTACAATTTCAATACCAAAATCTAAATGTTTCACCAAAATTAATTGTTTATCCAATTATATTTCGTAATTACCTACTGTTATATAAAAGGCATTATTGAAAAGTTCGATGAACCAGTCTAACTGATGAAGCTACCGTGTGACAAAACGCGTTTTTAATGAAATTTATTGAGAGAATTATATAATTTTTATAATGGGCAGTGGTATTGACTTCCATCACGTAACTATGTAGGTATTCTTAATATTAAGTACCTTCACGATCCTTCTCGTTATATTTTGAAATCACACCACAAAGAGAAATCCGTCCAAACTCATTCATATGTTTCAAAACGGTTGTACTGATATCTCCTCCAACCTAAAAATCGAAATTGATCAATGTCCTAATTAATGATTTTATTTTCAAATCATCAGTCTTTCAATATTTGAAAGACTACTGATTTCTCAACCAATTCTTTTCAATTCTGGTTATTTTTTTTAAGCTGTTTTTATTTTTCTGTTTGTCTCTAGCCCTCGAATTTAGATTACTCACATTATCAAAGTAACAATCCACACCTCCAGCAGCCTTCTCTGATAATTCCTTATCAATATTACTTGTTTTATAATTGATGAAATGATCGAATCCCAATTCGTTGATCAACCACTGTCCCTTTTCATCTGAGCCAGCTATTCCAATAATTTTGCATCCTTTCAGTTTCGCAATTTGCCCCACCAGGCTTCCAACAGCTCCAGCTGCTCCCGAAACTACTACAGTTTCTCCGGCTTTTGGTTTGCAAATTTCCAGAAAACCAAAATATGCGGTATTACTGAAAGTTTCGTAAAACATATTATAAATAAGTTTCATTTCGATGCTATGGGGAAAATTGTGATTTTTGATAAACATAGGGGACTGTAAAATATAGGAAAATTCAAGAAAACAATAGGCCAACACTGTTTCAACTATGTGGTTTGTGAAATATTGAAACTATTGCCGGATACATACAAATTAAAATCAATTATTCAACAAATACGCCTATTTAGTTCAAGAAAAAACTTTTGAAGGATATTTATCCTTCACAGAACATCCTACCCGACGAAATATTTGAAGTTTGGCCGGAACATAACAAAACTGCCCTAAGAGTTATTGATTATGCGACAAAAGGTTTCATCCTGGGCAAAGCATATCACATAGAAGTGGTATTCCTTGACTACTCCAAGGTGTTCGACAAAGTCTGACACGGCAGACTCGTGGGTACACGGGACCAATGGTAAGACTAATAGATTGTTTTCTAGCCAGCAGTCGATGCTAATGCAGAAATTCTCCACCAGGTGACTCATGAAAGTAGTACTTCCACAAGGCGTTGTTCTTTCACCTCACATCTTCTCCGTGAAAACATCAGATGAGCCGGAGAACAACTTCAATGAGTTGGCAACAACAAGCAAACAGATTAGAAGATCAAACCAGTATCTGGAAGATTAGCATCAACCCCAACAAGAGTCAGAAGTTACTATTAACCTGGAGAAAAGCACAACCGAAAGTCGTCTTTAACGGACAGGAGATTCTTTGAACGAACGAAGCGAGAAATCTGGGGGTCACTTTCGACAGGAAACTAACATTCAGGTCCCATTTAACACAAAGGCTGGGATTCGCAAAGACCGTTAGACACAATCTCTATATCCCACTATTGGAAGCAGAAGTTACATGGGGCTTGCAAGTACCCATCATCCTGTATGCCTCCACTGCATGAAGCTAGTGTGCAGAAATATACAGACACCAGATCCAAAAGTTTATGAATTTCTGCTTGCGAATGGCCTTGAACTTCCAGATCTTGCAATACGTAGATATCCTCATGAGAAACCACACCAAGAACATTTTCAAGCGAATTCGGACACATCCTAACCTAGCGCTGTGTGATCTCCACGATGCAAATAAACAGGGATGACCTCAGATTCCGCGAGAGTGACAAGCACATGGCGCCGAAAAGACAAAATCAAAAACTTCCTCTGAGAGTCGCCATCTGTCGGCACCTTCCTTAAGTTCCTGAAGGGTCTTAACAGCAATGTTAATTAATACAAACAAACCTGCAACAGCGAAGGCTTTGAGACCAATTAGTCTCATGTCATTTGCGTTGAAAACGCTAGGGGACGTATCACTGGCTATCAGACCATTACATCGAGACCAATATGCATATAGATCAGCTATGTCAACAGAAACGGATCTATGTCGGGTAACAGAAAAAGTAGAATATACTTACAAAAACAAGGGAGTACTTTTAGCTGCGTTCTTGGACAGTGAGGGCACATTTGATAATACGTCGTTAGAATCAATCATCCAGGCGTCGAGGAGAAGAGGGATCGACAAGACAAGCTGTAGGTGGATAGACTGCATGCTTAGGGGAAGATTGGTATATACAACCATTATGGGGGAAACAGTCGTGGCACGGGTAGCAAACGGCTGTCCTCAGGGGGGGTTCTATCCCCTCTGTTATGGAACCTTGTAATGGACGAGCTAGTATGTCTCTTGTCCATAATGGGTAAAAAGCACTGGGCTATGCAGACGACTTAGTCATCTTAGTCCAGGGTAAATACAATAATGTAGTGAAGAGATGCATGCACCAGGCCCTGAACATTATAACAAGATGGACCGAAGAAAAAGGGCTTAACATAAGCCCATCCAAATCGACCATAGTAGCATTCACCAAGAGGACTAAAATGGAGGGTCTCGGACCTCTAAAACTTCGAGGTGAAAAAATACAAGTGTCGTGGGAGGTTGAATATCTGGGAGTAATCCTAGATTCCAAACTGACCTGGAACCAACACTTGGACAGGATAAAGAGGAAAGCGGAGGTAGCACTGATACTCGCCAGACGCACCTATGGAAAAACATGGGGGCTAAAACCAGACATGGTATATTGGCTATACACGATGGTGGTTAAATCCATGATAAAAATACGCATCTCTGGTCTGGTGGCCAAAGATGAAGCAGGCGACCGCCATCAACAAACTAGGCAAGGTCTAGGCAAGGTGCAAAGACTTGCATGTTTGGGAATGACGGGAGCAATGAGAACTACCCCAACAGCTGCATTGGAGACACTCCTAAATCTACCTCCTTTACACATTGTGATACTGGGGGAGGCCAGGATGGGCCAATTCAGACTGGAAAACTCACTGAACTACAAAAGATCGGACCGAACAGAAATTTCGGAACAAGTGGAGGAGCATATGATGAATATGTACACGGACCGCATGACACCGAAGTACACCTTCAACACAAACTTCACGGCCAAAATCATAAGCCGTGAAGAATGGAAGACCATTAGTCACCCTGAAAACATGTTTGGAAAAAACACCTGGTATACAGATGGATCAAAGACCAAACATGGAACGGGAGCTGGAATATACCGAGCGGATAGAAATCTAAACTACAGCTATCCGCTAGGACTATACACATCCGTCTTTCAAGCGGAAGTGTATGCTATCTTGCAGTGTGCAAGGCTTATTAAATTGAGACCTCAAAGAAATGAGCGGATCAATATTTTTACAGACAGCAAGAGCGCACTAGGGGCTCTGACAAACCCGAAGGTGACATAAAAACTGGTCTGGGAATGCCATGAAGAACTGAATGAACTTGCAAACAGGAACAAATTAACTTTGTACTGGGTGCCAGGGCATTCAGGAATCACAGGTAATGATAAAGCTGATGAATACACTAGAAGCGGATCATCAACTTCATATATAGGTCCTGAACCAGCTTCATGGGTACCAAAATCATTGGTACGAAACCAGATTAGGACATGGACCAATAAGAAGCACACAGAGTACTGGACAAAAGTGCATGGCACAAACACAGTAGAACCTTCATTAGGGAACCGTCCGAGAAAAGAACTGAATAATTACAGGGTTACTAACCGGTCATTGTCCGCTTAGAGGACACCTGAATAAAATGGGGCTGTACAACGGAGACCTCAGTTGCAGATTATGCAACGAAGGGATAGAAACAGCTCTACACATCTTATGCGAATGTGAGGCACTGAATCACAGGAGGCAGGCAATATATGGACGTACAAAATTACAACCAGAAGAATATAACGAACATCCAACACGGAACCTGTACATACTAGTACAGGGAACGAGACTGATGAAATGGGTGTCATGAGAATATGGGAGAATAAACGCTATAAGCCCAAGAGGCTGCAGTGTTTTCTGGAGACTTGGACTAAATGGACAAGTCAGACAGCTCCCAAGGTACAAAAAAAAAGTATAAATCCACTCGAATAACATACTGAGTGTATTCGCCATGAGCGAGAATTTGGTATTTCTCGTTCTACTTGTCCTACTTATGACACAAGCATCCTCTAGCCGGTCAAGAAAATGCTGTTGTTGGCAACACTTCTTGACTCAAATTTCAACGGCTATGCGCCGCACGGTAGACATAAAAGGTCTATTAGCCACCCTGTGTCGGTACGGAACGTAGTATCTCTCCAACTTGATTTCTGCTTCCATCTTGTGTATTCGCCATTGAGATTGCTGATCCCGAAATCATACTGGCTTGACTTAAGATGGGAGAGCATCAGTTTTCAGAAATCGAAAGGGATTTTTAAATCTTTTTCGTACTTCTCAGTTTGCCCAATTGGAGCTCTCTATAGCAAATTTCTATAGGTATCCTTCAGCAGTTGGTAGATTATCAACAACATGTGGAGGCTCTTGAAATAAGCAAGAATTTGGTGTTTTTCGCAGTTTTTCTTGCCTATCCGGTCAAGGAAATGCTGTTTAGTGGTTAGCAACACTTCTTAACTCAAATTTCAACGGCTATGCGCCGCACGGCAGACATAAATGTCTATTAGCCGCCCTGTGTCGATACGGAATATATTATCTCTCCAACTTCATTTACGCTTCAATCTCGGATGTTCCCCATTGAGATTACCGAACCAAGGAGGCGAAATTTTACCTTTTTGTTTGGTAAAGTGCTTGAACGGCACATCCACATGAGTCAGTTGGTGTACAACATCACACTAACGTCATCAACCTAGAAATAGCGGTAGTTGTTTGAAAAATATCACTGTATTAGAAAGTACACAATCTATAAAGTATATGTTTCAAGTTTGAAGACGCTGCGTTGTTCAGTATGTGTCGCGCGTCTGTCAAGAAACACTGTTTTTATGTTGGTGTGACATAGATATATGTTTTCTTCAGATACATTTTACACTAGAAGTTCCCGTTCTACCCATAACAAAGAAATGAGATTGGGAGACCTATAAAATTAGTTTTTATTCAAAAAGGGCGGGTTATTCGTCGACTTGACGTCTGTAAATAATCTGCATTCGGCAAAGGTCAAAATTACAATTGACAAACGATATAACACGATGTATAGGTAATACATAGACAACAAATGATCACTCACTACTTATAATTGTTAATGAATCAATGGTCTAAGTGAGTTTAGCAATATAACAAAAATAAATGAAAAAACTTCAATTTTCATGCAGACAAGATGATTATGAAATGGGGTTCAGGGCCGGTTTATTATATATGCCTAAGCCATAACTTATTGATTAATTATAACTTCTATGAAGTAAAATCACAACTACGCCACAATTCTTTTTTTCGTTAATATTGAAATTCATATAATGACACAAGTTGTAGTTTTCAACATCAGAGGATGTGATTTTTCTTCCAAAAAGTTATGCGTGCTCATTAATTCATGACTTATAAATCTGATGAACGATCCCTCATGTGAATGTTCATCTATAATTGGAAATATTCATTGCTAATACAAAACATACTCACCCTGGCATTCCCAAAACACCTAAACCTAGTGAAGGCGTAAAACCCTTCAAGTCTGGTAATAAATATGATGCGGCTTTCGAATTATCTGTTGTTGATTTTCCATTCCATATAGTATGACTTCTCCAACCAAAATTTCCAACTACATATTTACCAACAGGGAATTTAGGGTTCTTGCTTTCTATAATCCTAAATGAAAAGACATTTAGTAAAAATCACAGAAAATAGTTTTCACATTGTAGTTTTACTGTTGAAAGTTTCTACCGAGTGGAAATAAATACTCCAAGAGGCCAGTTACACCTACCGAGTGGATTCAGTCTAGTAAATCCCAATGTAATCAGCCCAGACAGTAGTGAACCTAGTGACGGGCAAGAAATTTTGAGCTAGCCAGTTAATAGATTCGTGTACTATATTGTCGGTCGAGTAGGGTCGCCCCTTCACTCATCTGACTACGAGCTACTCGGAAGGTGTAATTAATATTAATATTAATATCGTTTATTATGCATAAAAATACATTTATACATAAAAGGAAAAGGGTTATTCTCCACCCTTCCCAAAAATTATACAGTAAGTATAAGAAAATAATTATAAACATACTCATTTAGTATAATAGAGAAGAGAAAAAATAATACATCATCTAGTTGCTGATAACTCTTAATTTTCTTAACATTATTTTGGTCGATTTAACAGTTTCATTGCACTACCGTACATTGAATTTTGAATCTTTTAATTTTGCACTGAGCAATGCATTCAGATAGGAAGGGGTTATATAAGAAAAACATCCTTGAAATTTGGAAGTACGGTGTGTAGGTATGTTGAATGAGTTAATTCTCAAATTGACCATATGTATGTCAGAATGCCTGCTTATTAAACTATATAAATAACTAGGTGTTTCAGTTTGAAGCAACTTAAACAAAAACATTTTTATCAAATATTGGACTCTGTACCTCATACTCCAAGAGGCCAGTTACACCTACCGAGTGGATTCAGTCTAGTACATCCCAATGTAATCAGACAGTACTGAGCTAGCTAGTTAATAGATAGCCAGTTAATAGATTCATGTACTATATTGTCAGCCGAGTAGGGTCGCCCCTTCAGTCATCTGACTACGATATACTCGGAAGGAGTAATTGCCCTCTGAAACATTTTTGTTGTCTACATTGAAATCATAGTAAAATAAATAAAGCAGAGCAGCATTGTCGAGGATGGTTAGTAAGAGTTTGAAATGCAAATTCAAAATTTCCCCTCCCACTCGCTCGCCATTATCATGCAGTCATCAAGAAAAATCGACACTTTTATCGGATTTCCAGTTATGTTATCTTTTTGTAGCATTTTACCTACAAAAAAGTTTAACTTAATTTTTTTGAAAACAAAATTTCGTCTAGTTTATGTTCCTAAACTTTTCTTCTAATACTGATAGTTTCGAAAATATGCCCTTTGAAATATCTTAGTTTCCGGAAATTTGACAAACTTCAAGACGCTCTACTTCGGTTTCAACTTATTTCAGTAACACAATTATCAGGATAATACTTCAGGAGAATCTGATTATCTACAAAAAGCATGTAAGGGGACAGATGAAAAAAAGAAAACATTGTTTTTCACTATTGTAGCACTTCACTGTCCTAAAAACATTCAATACTTACTTTTCAGTTTTGGCTTTAGTTTCGAAGACATATCAATCCTATTTGCGTTACATATTACACTTGTTACCGATAAATTTTAATGAGGCAGATATATGTTGACTTACTTACTACTGATAGGAGATATTCACTTTAAAATAACCAATCAATACAGCAGATACATTTTTGAAGGCGATTCTATTCAAACAAAAGACGGTAATAGTCATACAAAAATCTCTAAAAATTGAGCTGAAGACTGAAAGGAAACAAATTCAAATACCCTTTTCCCAGTCCATAGTAGGTGGGTCAGGATCTAAATTTTCGTCAAATAGTGACTCTAGGTCTATATTGGTGTCGGCTTGGTCATCAACGGTGATCTGATTCCTATTGTAACATCCTTGGTCAGCACAGAATTTGAAAAGAGCGAAAAAATTATGGCCTGTCTTTCTACAGCCAAACGCCCCCATATACAATTTTACATCTCCACGAGATAGTGTAGTGAAAGTTTGGGGAGCAGCGTATCTGCTCTTGTAATAGGCTTCAGTCCCCTTCTACACGATCACCACTCAATGGCGTCTTTGATAATCCCCATCCATTTCATTTATAGTATATCCTCACGAAGTGGAAATAGTATGCACCAGCGGAGATGATTTAGTCAGACAGATCTTAGTGGACTTGATTTTGAATTGCTGTTTCTGAAAATTTAGCAGAATTCACTCTATGCAAATCCAAAAATATTTGAATTGATGTCGCAGCCCGATATTGCGTGCAGGAAAGATACAGCCTTTGGAGTCATAATTGTTGATTGCGTTTGGCTGTTTTCCTCTTGATATTTTTTCTAGGGTTACATTGTCAACTGAAGGTGTTGTTCCATCTGCAGAACCATTAGGTCAATATCTCAGCCGACAATGAAGACAGCGCCATACTAAGGAGGAAAAAAATTCAACTGTGGCTACTACTTCGAAAGCTTTGTCTGTGGAAATGTATCCTACATGTTTCATCCTGATACGTGTTTCCCTAAATTGAGCTGTAACTGAAGTAAAGCGACCTAGAATCAACAGTTTCACAATTTTTCAATTTTTTAAAAAATATTCGAAACTGTCAGTTCTAGAAAAAAAATTCAGGAACATAAATTATGGGAAACTTTGTTCTCCACAACATTAAGTTGCAGCTAAAATGCATCAGAAAGAATATATTTTCTAAAACAAGATATATGGGAATTATAATACCAATTTCTTCAGTTTTTCGAAGATAGAGTCTGTCACGAAATGGAGACAATTGTGCATTTTGCATTTCAAAGATTCCAAGACAAAATATCAAATATTCAGAAGTACCGAACCATTTCTGAGTAAACCTCTTTCATTTGGTCTCAATTAATTTGCCGTCATTAGTTCATTTCCGAATCAACAAAAAATATTCACTTCAACCAATTTATGACCATGAAAAAAACACATCACTCATGCGATTTTCACAGAAAGTTTCCTAAACCATAACTCCCAAAGAAATTATTGTATTTATTCATTTGAGAGGATACAGACAGGAACAACTAATTACGTGTTTCTTAAGACAACATGCTAATCAGGCAAGTTCATATAAACATAGATCCGCAAGGCTTTTATTTTTCAGATGAAGGATGTCGAAAATTTATTTTTGTTTGTTTTTAATAACTCTGGAGGGAGTGTTACCTACATACACGTCCTTTTCCTTTTTAACACTTTTATATTAGCTTCACTTGTATGTTTGTTTGTAACCGACTCCTTTGCACCTAATTTTGACTAACTTTAAACGGACAGATATATTTTAAACGTATCAAGAATCGGTGACAATACAATTATTTCATGAGTTTATCTCAGTATCCTGATCAGGATCGCCAGGAATAAATGATTTTCTCACACAGTATTTGTGTGAGAGCAAGTCTGTGCATGCTTATATATTTTATATGAAAACAAATGGCCTTGAAATAGCAAGCCAAACTATCATCTTCATGGCTCCACTCAAACTGAATGTTTTATCCCCTTGTTTGTTCTTTTATACAGTTAGAACGCCTAAGTGCAGGTATTTGTACCCTCCTGTCATCCGGATGTTTCTTTAAATCTGCCTGTATTTGGGTTACATCAGATAATGAGATAATAATATATTTTTTTCATTGTTTCTAGGAATTTCTAGAAACAATGAACAAAGGATATTACCTGATGTAACCCAAATACAGGCAAATTTAAAGAAACATCCGGATGACAGAAGGGAACAAATACCTGCATTAAGGGGTTCTAACCGTATAAAAGAACAAACAAGTAGATAAAACGTTCAGTTTGAGTAGAGCCATGAAGATGATAGCACAGCCTGCTATCGAATAAGTAGAAGTTATTGAAGCTTCAAATTATTTTTGTAAACATATGTTATTATTGAAATACTGAAAATAGAGGAAAATTAGTTGCGTCAATCGAAATATTAATTTTTCTGTCAATTTTATGTAATTCTTCGTGTCAAAATTCACTACAATCAACCGTTTGTGAGATATCGTGATTTGATCGAAGATATTCAAAAAGTGTAACAATTTTATGAAATTACGGTTTATAAATTAACATAAAAACATTTTAGGTGCTTATTTTTAAACAGTAATGAACGATTCAATAATAATCAGTAACTAAATCTTGAATTGTTCGCCTCTTGCGTGTATGCATGCAACAAAGGATCTGAGTTGATTCTGTAACTTTTTCGTGTACATTTGAATAATAATCATCATTACTGTGATTATTTTTGAAAAAAGGGTAAGTTTTACCAATGCCAAGTTTACTGACACACAATTTTCCGTGCGGACTAGCTAACGGAAATGCTTATGAGGCTAGATTCTTATATCAGTAACTGAATACCCTTTTCAAGAGCGTTTTGAAGATTCGTTTGGTTAGGAGAAAAATAACTTTTGAGAAAGATATTCACCTCTCGGGTATACTTGGTATCAACCCCAAAAACAGTTGTTAATCTTCTAGGAGAACGCCAGGAAAAAGCATTAGGAACAAAATGGTATCGTGAAATATTTCGCTTGAGGTGATTATTAATTTGCTGTGTCGCTACCATATTGAAAAAAAATCCATGAAGTATCAACTTGTCGTTGGTTTCTCCTGGACCTTTTTCAAAATCTTCAATTTGTAAATTAAAGCCGATTAACAGATGAAGCAAGTTTGTCTCCCAACGAAATTCTCTCAATTATTTGTGAACAGAGGAAAACCTGCATTTTTCTGAAGATACTGGGAAACGTGCCACTTAGACTACGGAATTAAATATAGTTATTGCTTTAGGTTAGGTTGTGTCAAAAGTGAGGGGGCGTATTCGTCCCACCACTGCAAACCGCAAGGGTTTATTGTGGCTCACACCTATTCAAATTCGGCCAAATAAACCCAGCTTCTTGACGAAGCCGATTAGTTTATATGTTGATTGATCTTTCAGGTCAGATGGTAGAAGTGTGGTTCTACCAAACTCTGAAAACCTGATTTGGTCCGCAGCGAGGCAGGCACAAAGTATATGCTCTGCTGTTTAATCATTTTCCAAACAGAGGCGACACAAACTGTCTTCCGATAGTCCGAGTCTCTGTATATGATGATTCAAATGACAGTGACCTGTAAGGAGGCCTGTTAGACATCTTAGTTCATCCTTACTGTAGTCCAACAACTGTTTGGTTTCAAGCTTCGAAAGGTGGATGAACGCCTTAGAGTGGGCCAATCCTGGAAGATTTCGCCAGAAGTCTAAATCTTCTTGCCATCTAAGTATTCAATGTTTGTTTGGCAAAACCTAAAGCAATGCCAATGACAGGTTCTGGTCCGATGAAGCTACTTGCAGCACCCTCCTTTGCAAGGGAGTCAGCAGCCTCATTGCCTTCCATGTCAGTGTGGCCAGGAATCAAGACCAGAGACAATTTGTTAAGTATTCCTATTGGGGAGAGTCGTTTTTGGCTCTTTGCTACCAATTTAGACGTTGCTCGGCAGGAGCCACGAGCTTCCAACGCCGCTGGACTGTCCGAGAAAATTTTTATTTAGGTTGGATTCTACCAATCTCCCCGCACACAATTCAATAGCATAGATTTCTGCTTTACTTCTGTTGGCAATTAGATTATTTCTTTCGAGAGATCTGAAAATAATAGATACTTGTAAACGATACAAAATACTGGACTTTCAATGAGAAGATTGGATGCGTACATATAGGCAAGAAATGTGCATCGTTCTGTGGAATACGAGATTCTTATGAAAACTTATAATTTTATATATGCCAAGACTTTTTCATTCGAAAGTCGTCAGTATTGTTTCAAATAATCCGAGAACATTATTTTAGAGAAACTGGACAGCTAAGAAAGAGAAGTGTGATGGATTGATAAAATTGTGGATATGTAAAATCTAATATTAGTGAGATTGGCTAATTTTGCACAAAAAATGCAATAAGGAAGAACAACCCGTTGCGACCTTGCAAATCTGAGACAATCCCAGCTCCGACTTTTCAGTGAATCATGATTATATGTAGTTGCAGACAGATAACTGAGAATTTTTTTTCCATTTTTGTAACTAGTCGATTGTAATCAAATTGTTGCCTAGTTTCAAATGAGTACATTCAGTAACGTTCAGCATCGCCTGAGGAGAAGACACAAACAAAGCTGTCATATTTATTACAGAAAATTCAAAGTGAGTCCATCTCTTTTGAACAGCAATCAGGTGTACTGATATTCCTCGGATGGATCAAATGAATAAGATGATTACGTAATAAACATACTATCTCGCTCCCTCTCCCTTCCGAATATACTCACTTAGCTATTTGTGAACCAATCATAGTACACCCAACGGGAATAGTAGGGGCATAAGCTCTCATGTACGGATCTACGCTCATATATACTGCCTCTGTGAGAACCTCTGCAAAAAAAGAATATTTTTAAATTCAGTAATGTTTGATTTGTGGTTGATGTAATGGTTTATCGTCTTCTCTTTCCAGAATGTATTCGGAATCAGATGATGAATCAGACTCATTTCTTACTCGGAAACTGGTCTCTATATCTAACAGGATGTCACTTCAAGATACACATCAATATTTTCCTTGGTAAAAACTGGCGGGATATTTTCACGTGAAAGTTTCTTTTAATTTTTATCAATTCATATAATGGTAAATAAATGGCTTTTTGGAATAATTGTTTTGTCACTGTTCAAAGTTCTTTTGCCACACATTTCAATTCAATTTTTTTTATTTTTGGCTTTCATATATTAAATTAGTTCTTCATAAGATAGTGGATTTTTGTTAACATGTCGTACATTTTGGGTTTTCTTCTCGAAATCTATTCATGCTGGTATATACGCACAGACCCGTGGGTTGGGCTACCTATCGGGCGCGTCCCCAGATGGGGGATAGGGGAACGGCCAGAGGACTGGAGGCCCTGTCCGGTAAGCTAAGGTGGCCTTACGGACGGGGTCGCCGGACTCCTAGTTAGTGGCTGAAATAAGTAAGGTGAGGGGAACTAAAACCCCCCAAAAGCTTTTGCAAAACATGCCACCGTGGATCAGCCTACCCAAGCTAAGGAATCCTGAATGGCCGCAGGGTGATATGCGGTCACGAACGATCTCCTTGGGGAACTGGGCGAAACCTCATTGTAATGCGGACCTCTGCCAGAGTGTTAGGTTAGGTTAGGTTAGGTCAGGTTAGGTTAGTTCCCTTGCTACTCGTGGGAACACACATGAATGAAACAAACACAAAAACAGAAAGAGCAAAAATAAAAACCAATGCCGAGGCTGGACAGAAGTGCTCACTTCAATCTAAGGCGGTGGCTGGGGATGAACAGAAATGTCCACCCCAATCTGCCGCTTGGAATGAGGCTGGACATAGCAGATCACCTCCAACCGCAAGGGCACTTCCTACGGCGGGCGTCAAGACCTCCGCCTTGAATAAAGGCAAGGAACCGACTGCCCCTGCAGGAAAGCTCCCTCACTTGTGCACCTCCACAAAGGGAATCCCAAGAAGGTTGAAGAAGACGCACAATGACAGTAATATCGCTGCACCTTCGAAAACCTTCGCGGAGGCCACCGTGAGACACCTCAAGGTTGCCAAAGAGAGTCTTGCCCTACACCTGCCAAATAAAGTAGATGTCTCCTAGTGACCTGTTCACCTTCCTGGAAAGGACAGGATGGACGATGACCTAGGAGGACCATTCCTTGGAAAGATGTACAATGGGTCACATGTGGCCTAATTGCTGTGGCTACAGATACAGATATGCGCACAGAAAGGGTCATTGGTGATGGTTGAATGCCATCGTTTTTGCTAGTTTCTGATTGATAATTCATATTTGTTACTTGCTAATCGAGTGTGCATAAATTCACCTTTACTCCATACTGCTCTAGGGTACATTTCAACAGCTTATGGCACTAGTACTGGTACACCTACAAAATTTATCCTCCGCAAATTTTAGAATGAAAATGAAATATAAAACATGAACTCATGGAGTTCTCATATTATTTTTTGAAAGTGCTTGTTTTGCGAGTTTGAGCATGATATTTTTTTAAATGTTTACTAATATAGAACCCAATAAGGAGGAATGAAAAAAAGAATAATCAACTAAAAAATCAAAACTGAAGTTAAGACTTACGTCCGTCTTTCAATGATGGTAACTCCTCCTCCACGATTTCAAAATCTGATTTTTTTGGTAGTCCATCAAATTGTTTCACAAATTTATACACCTTTGCTATCACCATTTTGTGTTAAAAGGTTTTTTACAAATGTTCTATTAGACACCTTTGAACTGAAAATGTTGCCTGTCATACACATACCACATGTATAAAAAAACGAAAGAAACATTTTTAGTTTCTACTTATATCTGATCCGATTGAGTCTATTCATATGACCTTGGAGTATCCTTAGCCATAGGCGTGGGTACATATAGATTTTTTGGGAGTCATTTCTGAAGCTGATTCCAGACTTAATTTAGACCAAAAATTATTGAATAAAGTATTGAATTTTATGTTGACAAAAATATTTGACAACCGTTACCAACCAATGTCAATGTTAAACAACACATAAATCCATTTATCTTTCCCAATTCATAGAAAGGAAGAGGGACTTTCGAACTATGACAATTGATAACGGCCATCTTGTTGAAGCTGTGCCTGTCAAATGAGTTGTCATTTATTCAGTAGGTATGTTTTGCCAAATTACCATGGAAGGATATAACATTCAATACCGTGCGATTCGCTTATTTTACGGTCGCCATAATCGTCCTACCTAGAGAACTGTTCGTAATGTGCTGGTTCAATGAACGATCGACCAACACCCGTACGTCGACGAAACGCAAGACCTGCCGTAAACATCGCCGCTGTCTGTGATAATAATAATAATAAATATTTTTATTCCTACACAAAAAACAATAACAAAGTACAAAGTAAAGTAATATTGAGTAGCAAATGGCATCGTTCGCTCTTCTAGGTTATGAAAACGACAGAATAGCGCTCTTATACGCAACGACGTGAAGGGACCAGTGACAAGAACTGGTCCCTCTAGGAGAAAAAGAATATACTACACATAATTGTGTTTATATTGTTTGTATTACATGGCCCTTCTTTTAATAATAACATAAAATATTCTTCAGATCACATAACGAGGTAAATAAATGGATTATGCTAGGTCTTAAAACCAATTCTTCTACATAAATTGTAACTAAAAATAATGGTAAAAAACATAGAAATTTTCATTTCTCTTTTCATAATAATAATAGTGATTTATTATTTACCATAACATAAAATATTCTTCAAATCACATAACGAGGTAAATAAATGGATTATGCTAGGTCTTAAAACCAATTCTTCCACATAAACCACAACGAAAATAAATAAACATTCTAGCTATAGTTAAACCAGGATTTAAATAGAACTCAAATATAATATGTAAGCTCTGTTACGCCAGCAACGCAAAGTACGGAAATCGCATTTCGAAAATGCCAAAATAAAGTACTTTTTAGGTACCGAAGTCAAAAATTAGGTGCTCTGTAACTTACACCGCAACTCAATACTCAAAGTTGCGTTGCTAGCAGTATGTGATGCTAGCAACGCAATGAAAATAATAATAAAATAATGAATGTTGAGGAAACACTATTAGGTGCTAATTAAGTGCTAAACGGTGAGGATCGTCAAATTTTCTAATTAATAAACAAAAGCTTCCAATTTTGCTAAATAACAGATCTAAGAATCAGGTCTCTCGAAAACGAGGACGAATGCTCTATCAGGTATAAACTAAGCGTGGTAATAAAGTGCTAATTAGGTGCTTGCGAGAAATTAAGATGAAAACGACCGCGAATAAGTGAAAAAAAAAAATTCGAGATACCTGATTTGAGAAAAAAAATATCAATATGCAATAAAGTCTTGAGATTCTCGTAAACTAATACATAGACAATCAAAATAAAGTGCTAATTAAGTGCTCACTAGATAAATAATAATAAACCTATATTCCATAATGCCTATGGGGCATTATGGAAAACCACTATGACTGATGGACTGAGTTCTTACAGTACCGTTCCTCGATAAGTAAGGGCATGAGAATGAAGTGCTGATTAGGTGATCATTAAATATTTATAGTAAATCTAGATTCCATAATTCATATGGGGCTTGTGGACCCGATAACCACCATGGACCCGATAACCACCATTAAAAAAATGTTTAAAATATGTTTTTCCGTTAACCAGCTATCGCACCCCTATGAACGATAACCCTCAGAAGTCGAAACTTGTACGAGGTAAAAACTAACGAGGTCTTACCTTTTAACGTGTGATTCCTAACACGGGTTGGACGATATCAAGTGAAAATTAAGCGTTCAGCCTGGGGCTTGAATCGGCCGATGTGTGAGTCGATGATTCGAACAGTCCATTATTTATCTTTATATAAATCGCTCTGTGGAAATTAGCGGAAACTTTCACAAGAAAATTTCCTGTGAATTCTCACCCGAAATCATTAATGTGTGTCTGAAAGCGGAAGATATGAATTGAGAACAGTTTTAGAGTTTGGAATCGGTATCTACTGAAGACGCCACAACTTGGTTGGTGAAATGTGTGTCGCGTCGAGAACATTATGGAAGTTCTGGTGTTTGTTTGGGAATAGTGCTGGTTTTAGATTTATTCTACGGCAGAGTTTTCAGTTCTACCTTTCAATTCAGTATTGAATGTTGATGTCAAGGGAGAGGGGTAATACTCCCATTACTCCCTTCCCATAAACTCGCCCTTGCGTCCTATACTTGTTCTCTTTTGTATCAAAAATTTTAATGGAAGTGCATTTTTGCAAAACTTAGTGAAGCAATTCATTCGATTACTTACACATACGATTAATTACTACAGTAATGAATATTATGATTGTGACGAATATGAAGTGCTAGAATTTTTATTAGTGACATTAATGTTGATAACCTCAGTGATGCAACATGTTGCCTTGAATACTGTAGATAATGATCCCAATAAATATGTTTTTTTTTGTAGTTGTATCAATAATTATCCAGGGAATGTGAGGAAAACCAAGAAAAAATATGATCTTCAGAAATGGCGGAGTAATGACCTTATTGAGGATCAAACTGATCTTCCTCTTGAAGATGATCACTTGGTGATAGAATCACGTGTCGAGGTGTTAAAATAACGGTTTGGTGTTGGGAAAAAACTCCAGTAATGTTCAACCTTTTGAAATAATTGTTAAAGAGAAAAAAAATTGGATACAGCAGTTTTTGGGGGAGAATATAATAAAACGACATGATAGTTTGCAATGCTGTGAAAAAAGATTATCGTGGAAACTAAAAAAAAATATAAAGACCCTATTTTTCGAGCGAATTAAAGTAATTAAACCAATATATGTCTTTTAAAGGAGCCCTATAATCCCTACAGCTTTTGCGATGGCCTGGAAACCCCATACGATTTCGTGATGGCATAGAAACCTCATACAATTCATTGCTGGCCTAGATTTTACAGTTCGCCAACTTCGGAAAATGGAAAAGTTCAATCGTTCGGACTCCTATTGAATGTGAAATGCCGATGCCTATCAAAATCTTGAGTTCCCTATTTCTCTTTATAACTCTATAAAACTCTACAAAAATATGTACAATTACCTCCCACATGGTGAAGTGGGTGGCGAAGAAAGAAGTTGGGTGCGAGGAAGAGAGGGAGGAGTAGAAGGAGAAGACTGCAAAACTGACCTCCAGAACGACTGCAAGAAGAACGCCACCTCACGATTCCATGATTGTGTAATGAAATAGTTCGCATTTTTGTTCCCATTTATGAGTTTTTTTAATAACTGTTGTTTCCTATCGAAATAAATCAGTTTGAATTGGAAACGTAAAATCATTACATGGCGCTGCGAATAATTCAAAGCGCCATGTAGTACGAAACTCTTGTTTATTGAGTTAAAAGAGTTTTTGTTTTCATCAAGAATCTAGAATCTCCAATGTTTCCTTAGAATAGCCAAGATCCCTGACCAAAGCGTTAAATTCTTCCTGGTTAAGGAGCTCAGGAGTAATAGATATGTGAATTAAAGTCAGTAGTTCCACTTTCATTACTTGAAGAAGAGATTATTTCATCTGATCATTTCGCGTAGATGAAGATAACACATTAGGGTGAAACCATTTGGACCGGTTTTTTATCAATCCCGTTTATATCAACCACGCAATCCTTCGTCATGTCTTTTCTTATTTGCCCATAATTTCAAATACCTACTCCACGCATGTTTTATATAGCATATTCGGCACCCATTACTTGTCACGGGTGTTCATAGGAAATCCAAAGTAATCAAGATACACGCGTTTTATAAACTACGACATACATAATCTGTAATTTTTGAATGTTTATTCAATACAGATGTTACAGAAATAGTTGGGATCATTTTTACAGATTTCTCGATGAAGACGTAACAAAAATGAATTTTTAAAAGAATCACACGATTTTATGAAAATCAAATGTAACTAGTACACAAATTTGGTTAATAGCTACATCTCAAAAACTAGTGCTGTGGGAAAAAAGGGAGGGTAGATTTGAAATCAGCGACCTCAAAGTAATAAACAGCCATGAAATTCCAGGCAACAAATTACATTTTTCTTTTACCTACGTAAATCGTTAATTTTTTCATGGCTCAATTTGTTTCTTGAATAATAATAATAATAATAATAGCCTTTATTGTCCAACAGTTTCCCATTTACAGGACAATATTAAAGAATAACAAAACATAAAATGGTGTGTATGAGTAAATTAATAATAATATTTAGTAGATTAAACAATAATTAAAATAACATATCAAAAATTAACGAAATATCGATATAACAATGCTGTTTAATTTTTCATCACCGAGATGAGTTCCTTGATGGAACACGAATGAATGTCAATTCGATTGCTAATTTTATTGAATTNATCTCTAATATATAGAGTACCTTATAAAGAAAATTCAAAGACATTGTTTTAGAAAATCTACAGTATATACATCATTGTAGAAAAAACTATGATATTTTTTTATTTTCATTTTCTATGGGAAGATGCTTCATAATTATATTCCCAGTCTGGCCACTTTGAAATTCAGGTCAAATCATGTTTTAAATGTCAAATTTAATCATCCTTGAACAAATTTCTTCCTGCAAACATGCATTTCATTTGAAACTGCAAATTTCAATATGGGGCGATGATAAAAAAATCAAAGCAATATTTTCCATATGTTGAGATTTTGAAAAACGTGTTTTTATATACATTGGGTCCAAATAAATATTTAGTTCATCTTAACAATAATCACAACTTGATAATTACTAATAAAGAATGAATTGAAATCTTTGAATTAACCCAATTTGGTCAAATATAAAATCCATGGTTTAACCCTTATTTGATACTCTAAACTTGATGTGTTTACAAGCAAAATTGTACATTTGTAAAAACATTTTTTTCATTTCTTTAAACTTTGTATTGAAAATTTATTTTTTATTAGATTTGACTTAATGAGATCAATCTATCTCTCATATCTCTTTGTCTCGATTCCAACAGGAAAATAATTCAAAGTTAACTCAAAAACCTGATCCAACTTCAAATACATTGAGCACTTGTACCAAGAATTTAAAATTCTGAGCCTACTGAGAAGAGTCAAAGATTTTTTTTAGCTATGAGATCGAAGGCAATACTAATACACCAGAGTGGTCCCCAGATTTTCAGGATTAGATTATTTTTTAGACTTTGTGTTTTTTCATTTTGGTAATCTTTTAAAAAAATCCTTCTATATATAATATGCGGATTGTAGCCATGACTTTAATTTAGGGTTGGATTGATCGTATTGCTTTTTCGTCACTGTTGACAGCTGTCAACTTAATTGAATAACATTTTTGGTAGTCACTGTTGAAAAAGTTACAGAAATCTGAATTGTTTCAGCAACCCCTTTTTTGAAACGTGCTAAGCCACTCAAAACTTCTCTTGATATTTCTTTGTTTTTTGGTATACAATCTTTATGTAGTCACAATATACACACTTCCACAGACACAGTTTATATGATATACATATTGACTAGAATTAGGATCTCTTATCCACTCAGACAACACTCAGTTCAAAAAGTGAGAATAATTGTTTCTGTAAACCAATGAAACTCACATGTTGAATGAATATATGAGATTATTTTCCTTTTGCTCTTATGATAGTCTCTGGAGTCCTGGTATGAAAGCCCCATTTTTTCATCTGCTGATATTGAAGACAGATAATAGCAGATAGAAGAATATTAAAAAGTGTGTTCGTATTACCAAGACTGTAGAGATTACCCAAAGGTTCACAAGTAAAATATTTTTCGATATGCAATTGTGAGTTATAGGGGTTTGCCAATGTACGAAGTGGCAAAACACTTGGTCTTGCTTTCGAAATGACTTATCGGAAACACACAATAACATAATGGTCAGTTCTAAGAATGGTTTCTCTATGTTTCACTATATGGATAAACTAATGGCTGAAGCTATAGGATTTATTGATGAAAAAATGGTCCTAGTTCAGTATGTGAGGTAAAAAGACATAAAATTATCATTCCTGGACCTACCAGTCACTTATGAGGATAAATGACAAATATCTATGTATCGAGAAACAAGTCATTCAGGAATAGAAAAAGCAATAATTGAGATACTTTCAAATGAAAATTGAAACACTTGGAAAAAAGTTTTTGAAGCAAACGTTTGCACCAAACAAGNTCAATTTGTCCCCAATTTATTTCATTCAGAAATTCCATTTTCGAAGATTTGGCTGATAAAGTTTAATGCAATATTTTCAAAACTATTTTTGAACAGCTAGGTATGAACCAACACAACCCCAAACTTATGAAAAGATTTTCAAGGAAAAATAGTTTTCAATTAGAAAAAATCAGTAAGAAATTGTTTTTAATTTTTGAGACTCACAGCAGTTTAAAAAAACTGGTCAAACTGTTTGGAAGACCTTAGTCATTTTAGCAAAACTCAATACTTTCAATTTAGAATTTTAAGTATTTAAAATAAATTCATGCTTGCTAGCTTTCGACAACTTCACATCTCATATCAAACTTCCAATGAAAGCTCGATGTGCTAGACACTGCTTAAATACAAATTATGGAGGACCAAAACCAGTCCGTTATATATTCAAAAACATTTCTTATCAAGATGTCAACCACTTCTGTTAATAACAAAATGGTATGCAAAATACAACACTGTGATGGCATCATCCATCAAATTTTTTTAAACTAACAATAATAGGTTGAATATTTGTCATTTCTTTACATGTACGAGGGGAGTCCCAGAAATACCCGACCTGACCTAGAGATGGCGGTAGTTGTTTGAAAAATACCACTGTATTAGAAAGTACACAATCTTTAAAGCATATGTTTCAAGTTTGAAGACGCTGCGTTGTTTAGTATTTGTTTGGCAGCCACCAATAGCAGAAGTTTTTGGTGAATTTGTGAAAATGAAGAAAATTGGTCAGTGTTATGTGGTACAATACTCTCATTTGAAAGGCCTCAGCACAACCAATATAACAGCTGAACTGGATTCTACTCTGGGTGAGTCTGCTTCTTCATTTACAACAGTAAAATATTGGGTAGCAGAGTATAACCAGACCATACGATCTGCCACTGTTTTTGCTCACACTTGAGAAAAACAGTGTTGTGAAAATGTTTCAATTGAGTGTCTAGCAAAGTTTCACAGCAACAAAGCAGAATTCTTGTGTCGTTTCATAATCATGGATGAAACATTGGTTCAACACTTTACACCCGAGACGAAAGAACAATCAAAACAGTGGAGAACCAGCTCCAAAGAAGGCGAAGACCGTTTCATCTGCAGGCAAGGTCATGGCATCGGTTTTTTGGGGTGCGGATGAGAGAATTTTCATCGACTATCTTAAAAAATGGTAAACTATTAACGGCGAATATTATGCGAACTTATTGCAATGTTTGAGTGAAGAAATCAAGCAAAAACATCCACATTTGGCTAAGAAAGAGTGTTGTTTCATAAAGACGATTCATTAGCTCACAAATCCATTACTGTAATAACCAAAATTAACGAATTAAAGTTTGAACTGCTACCTCATGCACCCTATTCGCCAGATTTAGCCCTCTGCGATTATTTTCTGTTCCCAAACTTGAAAAATGGCTCAGTGGTGAAAGTTTTTCCAACAATGAAGAAGTGATGTCAGCAGTTAATGGCTATTTTGAGGAGCAAGACAGTTCTTATTATAAAAACGGTATCGAACTTATGAAACGTAGCTGGGAAGGAGGTTATGTTTAAAAATGAATACATTCTTTCCAAAATGTTTGTGTTTTCTTTGTTGTGTCAGGTACTTCTGAGACCACTGTCATATGGAGAGACATATTGATACATTAAAATGTATCTATGTATGTAAATATAAGTGCGTGTAAGAGTCCAGAGAAACTGAAAATACAAGAGCATCATAAAATAATTCATTGGTTAGAATCCAATCTTTTCAAAAAATTGAAAACTCATTTTGAATATTTTCCAAAATCACAGAACCAAAAGATCCAAGTTATTTCACTTAAGCTTATATTTCTTTCAGAGAATAGTATGTACAGTTGGGACGATAAAAGAACACATCTTTTCTTCTACAAGAAAAAAAAGCACAATCAAAATTTGCATTCGACTTGAGAGAGCTCTTACTTGGATGATAGCTTGCACTTAGTACATAGGAGAGAAATAGTCATACAAATGTGAGATGTCGGCAACTTCTTAGACTTTGACACCAACTGATGACATATAAGTATCGTTTTATAGTTTATTGTTGTTTATACTACATAAATAGTTGTTCCCAACTAATAAATTGGGGACGCTTTATATTTCACACTCAGAAAATTATATCTCATAAGTATAGGTTTCAACCACAAATTGGGAGTTGCTCTGTCTAATGTACTGAAGAATTTTAATTGCCAAATATTGAAGTACTGATGAATTTTATGATATTGATCCAAAATCGTAACATGATTTTCAAAAATAAGAGCAATTATTCATCAAAAGATTAGATTTTTCGAAGTAGTGCTACATTTTTACGATTAGTTTGTGCCAGTTTATATAGCCAGGTTATATCGAAAGCACAAAGTGATGACGCATGTGTATACTTCTATCCTCCCAACTGTCGTCAAGAATGTATACATTCTCGATAGCTTGAATCGGAGCCCGTTTACAGCTAGCAGCAGATATTTTTTCGACATCCCAAGATCAGATAACTGCTATTAGTTGTCCGATATTTTCCTTAGAATATGTCAATGCCAAATGTTTTTGATATGAAAGTCAAATGATCTATTTGAATTCAAAAGCACGTTTTCAATATGAAAGTCAAGAATAGATTCCTTGTAGTTTTATAACGTTTCAAGTTAGCCAGTATGTTCACATTCCTAACCATATACTTTATTTATGGTCAAAATATTAGCTTTGTTAAAATGTCTTGAGTCCTCTGGCTCTAAGATCTTGGACTATCTATAACTAATCTCAGAGTAATATTCATTGATTAAAATTATTTTTTTAGGGAATGGCACGGGTCAAATGTACAAAAAATTTAACCATTTTCTGTGGTTCCTAAAATTATTAAAGCTTTGTTGAAATTATTACATTTGAGTCGACAGTCGTAATGTTTTCAACCCAAAAATTACACAACAAATAGGATATTAATTTCATGTTGATCTGTGATTTCAAACTAGTCAGACTCTACAACAAAATCATCCACAAAAATTTCAACCGTCAGCACTAAGTAAGAAAATATGAAGCTTTTTGCGTATAGGCTATAACGAATCAACTTTTTTTTTCTACAAGTTTTGATACAAAACAATTATTTCCCCAATAAATTTTTCTCACTTGATTGTTGATTATGTAATTGACCGTCACGAATGTTCCCCTTCAACAATTTTAAAAATTGAAATCATATAAAATCTTCCTCCCTCTTCAGAGTACGTTTACCAAATCATCAATACAGTTATAAAAATATTTGTTTATGTGTTACCGTTATAAAAATGTAGAACATCATGACGGCAATAAAAACCTTTTGATCCAATTTCCGAAAAACAACTCCTTACTTCGCGTAAATATCATAACGAACACAGGATAATGTATCAATAATAAATTTGATAATGCCTAGAAGGTCCGTAAATATCACAACACTGACAAGAAGCGAGCATCACTTGAGATATGACTTGTATAAAAGTTTACTTCTGCATAAATCTTTTTCTGTTTCACAGAGAAATTGCAAGTCTCTTAGTGTCACTTTCTTCATGCGCTGCCGCAAAGGCATCTGACCACGAGCACCAGTATTCGAACCACTAGCATTAGCCTGTAAATAAGAAAAAGAAATGAAACAGATAAAACAATAACCGTTGGGAATAATAAATGCAATATAAATGAATCATTCACAATTGTGAGTTGGCAAATGGTGTTAATCCCAAAATGCATTTTCTCATTTGTTTATGCAAACCCAGTTCACAAATTTTAATTTACATTTTTGTAGAAGCTGAAGCTAAAAAAATATCTATACAAATTGGGTAAATTCATACTAGTGGTACTGCTGTATCTGAGTTCCTTGACCCTCTATTGTTTATAGTGATAATTACATAATTTCGATAAAATTCAAATTTTGAAAGTGGTGCTAGAGGGATAATATTAAT